CTATTAAACTAATATCGCTTGTGTGTTCTACATTCTCAAAAATCATGTCACCATCATTGCCATCCTTAACAAAATCTTTATAAACAAAAACGTCCTCCATTTTTTCATTACTGCATGCATTAGCATTAGCTTTATTATTCACACACCTATGATTTACTGTAGACACTTGTGCACCCAGTAGGCTGAACCTCTGTATAAAGCATTCAATCAGGAAGACATGTTATGTGCTTTAAAGATGGACTAGCAGAGCTTGACTCTGGTGACCAATAATATCCGAATAGTATTGTGTTTAGACAATTGACAATTATTCATTTTTTTAGATGATCTCATATTGCTTTATTTATTTAAGGTCGACAAGCCGGCGGGTCCGTTTTTTTCGTTTTTTTTTTTTACTGTTATTCACAACATCTATTTTATTTTTCTTATTTTTTTCATCTTAACGTGCATAGTTAAATATAATTTCATGCATAGAATCAAAATGAATAATTTGGCTACTTTTAAAATTCAAAGTAAAACCTCGTCTCTTACAATGTTTTTCCCCCAATATTTACAACGTACGCATAAATTTTTGGTACCTCCGCTTGCAACTCTTGTAATGTAACTACCTACCCCATGTTCTTGGAGATGCAGATTGCATCAGCATTAATCTCCACAAGCAAAAAATCACTAAATTGTAAACAACATAAACGCAGTATTGTAACGTCTTGAGAGCAGTCTTTAGCCATTTCCTTTTGGAAATTAAACACAAAGTTATTTTTCTTTCGTTCCTCATACCACGCAATCAATTTAGTGCGACCCTTTTCAAACTTTCAATCAGGAATGTACTAGTTATTATCAGGAATTGGGCCAACATAATTTTTATCCTCTATTCTAATAAACAAAAACGGAAAGTCGCCTCTGGAAAAATTTTTTTTATCGAGTCCAAATTTTTTAGGAAATTTTGATTAAGGCATTTGTTAAAAGTTCAGCGAATCAATTAAATGAATTTGGTACTCTTTCCCTGTCAGTTGCATAATTTATAACATGTATATCAGCAGCCTGTCTTTACTCAATGAATCATCTCTGTATGATAACACCATTATGGGCAATTACTGTAAAGTCTTTATGTTCTCTTGGAAATAATAAGGAGCAAAACTCGTTCAATGCGTTCTAACTCCGAAAATAAATTTTGTGCCGTCGAAATATTGTGCAACAGTATAATTAACCACATGTTCTCTAGTTGAAAAATCTGTCTTAAAATTGTAAAATATGAGACTATCATGTTTATGATTTGGCTTGGTTTTTCCGTTTGCATGAAACCTAAATGATTATTAAGTACAAACTTATTGCATATATGACATACAGTTTACCACAGCGATGTTCGTCTCGTTTGTTTATGCCAACTGTAAATGAACACATTTGACATCGAAATGACTTGTCACATATTGATGGCAAGTCAACCCCTTTGGACCGACGCAATTTTTTGTGATGATTAAAACATGCTGTAGAACGACAAATCTTGAAACAATCCAAAACATATGTTTTTCATCAGAATTCTCAAAGCAATATGTTTGTGTTCACGTTTACAAACATTACTTCCATTCTTCCATTTTTGAAGAACTGAAAGCATTTGTCACAATAGAAACGTTCACCCTGAAAAGCCGGAAGTTTGGCATGGTTATTAACAATGCGATTGTCACCTTGTTTGTATAAAATAAGCTTTTTAATTCGATGGAGACTGTCGTAAATGATTGTATTTCAAGCATTAGAAACAACAACCTGATTCTAATAGTCTAACAGAACCCCTTAAAACTTAGACAATTCCCCGACACCACAAAGTTCGCAGGAAATATTGGCCTTCTTGTATATTTTTAAAGCTTCTCGCCTCTGAATATCTTTCCCCTGTGTAAACTGTTTGAGTTTTGGATTCAATTCTGCTATGACCTTTGCAGAAACAAGAGTGCGAGAACAGCAGAGATTATCCTTATTTTGTATATAGTAATAATTGACTTTTTAACTAGACTGTCTTTGCTATAATCTTAGACTTTTAAAGAAAAACAATGTTTCTTTACCAGACCCCGTCGGCTGTCTTACAGCAAGCATATGAACAGTAAACGATTGATCCAAATGGAGGTTTTCATTACTCTGCAAGACTTTTGTTACTCGGGACAGCACCCAGTTTGAAGTCATTTTCATAGTTCGGCATCATCAAACATTCATGTCGCCTTTGGTGTGTGATCAACACAACAGCCGTAGCAGTCTTTTGCAGCAAGTTCCTATATTTTAAAACCAATTTCAGCAGCTTAAGACTTTAACTATTTATTTTGCTTATTGCTCTCATCGTCGAACTCGAACGACGATTCCTTCACCTTCCTTTCTTGCTCAGGGTCTACCTTTAAAGCCATTTTCGTTTTAGTTATGAAAAAATTACAAAATAATTCTAACTCAATAAAATTGTAACGTGTTCTTCTTTTTTATATTTGAAAAAGAAACAAAGAAATGGATCAAATACTGTTTTTAAAAATAGAAAACAATTGACAATTTTAGTTAAGTTTTATCGTGTTTCCAATTAATCATGTCATCCAGTAGCAACCTTTGTTCATTTTACCGGGTTTTCAGTTTACACGTACACGCCCAGCTTAGTCCCTAGATCTGGAAACTAATAAACACGGGTAAAAGCTCTGGTTACTTTCGAAACCATACTTGCACCTTAACTACTCCTCGGATTGGGTGAAATATAAGGTCTCAGTTCCCTTTCTAGTTCTATAAATGAAACCCATGGCACAGGAGGGTTTTTGAACCAAAATTCTTTAGGTGCACTTCTATTTCTCATGTTTATATCCACCATTGCTCTGTTCTCCCTGGTAGCACCTAACAGAGATGTTTGCTTCTCCTTAGTCTCCGCATTCTTGCATTTGCCTATTTTGAAAAGGTAACTTCGTTTATGACGACTCCACACTGCTAGGCTAATATTTTTTTGTTTTTCAAATAACTTCCACCAATGTAATAAAACGTGCAGTTGCATGAAAAGTGTTAAAATATGAATTGTTATTAAAGCAAATGTACAAGAACTTACATTCTTACTACCCACCATCTCAACTAAAGACAAAACAACAAACTAATAACACAACGACTAATATAAACCACTCGAATTTCATTAACGCAATCCATACACCCGAAACCATGACAACACATATTATACCATCCAATAATGAGTTTATACTCAACGACTAACCAACCAATCAGACGCTCCAAACGCCTACAAAATCTTTGTAAATAATATATTCTTACATTCTGACGAAGGCTCGATATATAGAGATGCAAGTTTGAAAATTTGTAATCCAGGCACTTAATACATAAAAAATAAAAGTTTTTCCAGATTTTAAATGATTTTTATTGAGCTTTCGACTCGTTGCTTCGAGCCTTAATCAGAATGAGAATATTTATTTACTTGTGCTTTTAGCTTGGAGACCTTTAGAGCGTCTAATTGGATTAGTGGGTGGATTAATTTAATTGGATGGCGTGAAATGCGTTGCCATGTGTTTTGGTGTATTGTGAATATGATTGGTGTTAATAATATTAGAGTGTAGTGTTTTAGTTTTGGTGTTGTTTGTAGTTTTTTTGTCCTTTTTCTTTAGTTGTGAGTATATGATGGGTATGTCGATATGTCTGTTTATTTAAAATCGTGGCCAGAGATTTGCCAGGCGGAAAGCGAATTTTCAATATGAACATAATAGCCCAACATAATACTTTTAAAAAAGCCATCATAATAATAATAAAAAATTAATCTGAAGATGTCTTAAGTTAAAGACGAAACGTAATTAATAAATCCTTCTCTATTTTTTATTATTGTGATGGCTTTTTTAAAAGAATTATGTTGGGTTATTATGTTCATATTGAAAATATGTCTGTTTATTGTGTCGTTGTCTTTATTGTACCAAGCTTCTTTAAATTCGCGTGTGTGTTTAGTCTGTGCGCGTCCGAGTACTTTAGTTTCTGTCCAGTCGAATGTGTGGTTGTTTCCGTGGGTATGTTCTGCTGGTAGTGAGTTCGGATCTCTTCGTTTTATGGCATTTTTGTGTTTTGTGTGTCTTGTTTCAATTGAATTTATAAAAAATTATATTTTATTTTTTGTTTGATAATGATGGATTTTTCTATTTTGGTAATTCAAGCATTTGCTATTTTACTAAACGAATATCCTGGCCATCCTTTAATATATCAATAGCATTTTGTATGCAACCATTTGTTGTAATTAAAAAAAATTCATCCAAAATGAAATTGATGAAGATTAAGCAAAGGGCAAATATTTAAAACATTCAAATTATTTTTTTTTTAATTCAAAAGACGAAAAATACAAAAAATACGATTTATTGAAAAGTTATATACGAGAATACTAGATATTGGGGTTATACGTTGCTGTCATTATGAAAACACTAAACATACTTATTTAATTTCTCCTATTGGGTGGTTAAATTTATATGCAATTGAAAAAATTGATATTGTTTGATGAAGATTTTTGTTATAGATATAGTGTTTTTCACTTCAAAAAAAGGTAAGGGGGGATACTATTTTATATAATCTTTTTAAAATTTATTTCCATGATTTTCATGTTTTAAAAAAAAGATAATTTTAATTCAGATTTAAGGTGTGATAATGAATGTAGATATTTTTTTAAATTTGTTAGTGATTTACCAATATAGGGCTGCATATTCCTTGATTGCGCAAACTAAAAATTATATCGAAATAAAATATTTTAAAAGTAATCATTTGTTTTTTAAAAGTGAAAATTTTGAAGTTATTGTTTCTTAAATTCGGCTAAAGGCAAATTAGAAAAACATTATTTCATATAAATTCGAAACAATCTTAGGGAAAATATTTGCTATACACCCCCTTCCTTCTAAAGTAAAGGTCTTTGCAACGTCCATGCCCCTATGCACCTACGTCTTTGTCATTGTGCATTTGATTATTCATTTGCGCCCCACTTATATCACTAGAAAACCAATTAACTTTGAACTGCTCAGCCTCACGTAGATGTTTATGTTTCGTTACAGAGTGAACTAGTTTATACAACGTCAGCAGGCGATGAAATTGATATCAGGAAGGAAAATTTTTCGACTCTTTTTAATTATTTGGGTAATATGCTCAGTTTTCACTCTTTTTAAATACGCAAGCTATATTGATATTTTCAACTGGAATCCTCTCATCGGAATGAATCAATTCGAGAACAATCATATGGCTGATCATAGTATTAATATTAAAACTCAGAAACTGACTCCACCGAAGAATAACTTGCTCTTGTTTGTGGGTATTAATAGTGCCCCTTCTCACAATAAACGAAGAGCGGCTGGACGAGATACTTGGCTTAAAGAATGCAAAGAACGGTCTGATGTCGTTTGTAAGTATTTCACCGACGGGAAAGATTCTCACGGCAATTTAATTCTGGGGGAGGAAAAAGTGAAACTTGACCACGAAAGTGAATTACACGGGGACCTTGTTCGTACTGAAACTCCTGGTGGTTTTACCTTTTCGGTAAGGCTACTGTGGATACTTCAGTGGGCATCTGATAACTACGATTTTAAATATTATTTGCGACTTGATGACGACTATTTTATTTGTTTGAATAAGTTGATGTTTGAGTTGTCGAGTGAGCAGAGACCAAAGCGCAATTTTCAGTGGGGATGGCTACACTGCAGAGCACGAGGTAAGAAGCATATGATCTATATTTTTCAGCGTTTTCCGCTTTTGTATATGTGGTTTGCTATAAATGCATAATTAGTGTAGTATAGGTAAAAACCGTATTATTGATGAAAAACCGCATAATTAAAAGTTTTGTAAGATGTAAAGTAGGCGAAAGCAAGTCTTCAAACAAATTAATACTTCACGTACACGGTATGTATATTTACAACGCGTAAGGATTAAGCAAGAGTCTTTGTAATATTTTTAGCATCTGACGGTGCGTTTACACTATACCGGGTTCGCTGATCACATCTTCATTTGCTTTAAAGGCTAACTGTTCGGAGTAAATGCTTATTTAGCTGATAAATTTAGTCTATTTGATTGTGCTTCCGAAGTTGAGCAATTTCACTGTTATTTAATACAAAGAATATCCAGCATGCTACGATAGCAATCCGGTATAGTGTAAGCAGGGCCTGAGAATTAAGGCCTTGTTCAAACGTCGAACTTTATGGCGTTCCATTTCCGCCAAAATTCATGCTTCAATTCGTAGCATTGTAGTTTGCATTCGTGACATTAAAGTTTACATTAGCGGCATTAAAGTTCACATTCGCGACATTAAAGTTTACATTAGCGAACTTATAGTTTACATTCGTGACATTAAAGCTTGGATTCGCGACAATAGTTTACATCAATGCTTATAATTCATCAACGTTGAATATTGGCGGATTGTGTAGGCGTACAAGTTCCGACAAAATTATTTTCGAGGGGGATACGTGGAATCACGGATACGGATGCACAGTAGTGAGATAAAGCACATGCGGATAACAGTGAATGCCAAAGGCCCAACATTTATTAGCACTAACTAACAAACTATTTTAAAAAATTCATTGAATGGGTTTATAATTTGACGTAAGACATTCCAATATTCTACGTAAAATAACATATACGAAAAAACGACCTATCTAAAATTGAAGTCGATTAAAATGTTTTTATACTTGGAAATTTAAATTTGAGTAATTCTACAAATGCTCAAAATTCGGACGTTAAGGATCCTAAGCCTATATAAATTATGAAACGAAACGTTTGGAAAGAATTCGAAAACATATATGTCTTCCATTTTTTTAGAGTTAATAGTTTGAATATCTGGTCAGCAGGAAGCCATATTAGGGATTACTTCGTAGATCATTATAGTAGGGTTTACTTCATAATTACGATAAATGTGATTGAGCGTAGAAACCACTGTGTCAAATTGCTCGTAACTAAACGTTTATTTACGAAGATTGCCTTCGAGTCAAATATCATCAGTAAAGTTTTGCTCTAATGCTAACGATTCAATGGTATGCTACATTAAAAGCCTGTGCTTTATAGAAAGATTATAAATTATCATTATGTTTTGAAATATGACTCTAATTTACAAGCTCTTAACTACTTCAACAAGCAATTATGGCTAATCCAATATGCTAAAACAATATAGTTTTGAATTTTGTATTTTGTACGTTTAGGTCATAATTGGAAAATACAGTATAAGTAATGAAAAATATAATATTCACTGAAAGATCTTTGTGAAATGCATTACTTGGAATGAAATATACATTGCTGTCTGTTTTTTAAACCAGAGCATGCTCAATTGGATTATCAATGAATTGGTCTGGTCTTTAAATAATCAATGATTTGGTGTGGTGTTTGGTCTTTTTAAGTTGGGACAACAAGCAGAAGTTTTGCTATTAGTCAACTTATTAATTTTTTAGGCTAGATTAAAATTTGGATCAGATTCATATGCAAGATCAAAGTCTGCACAAACAGTAACATTTGTAGCAAACAAGACTGTTCTTCAACAACAGAACTGTTTTATAATGCACAAACAATAATTTCTTTTTCAAAAAATGCCTTACCAAATAGAAGCCTAGACCACTCTGCATTAGAATTCAACTTTATCTATTATCACACTTATCACAGTTTCACAAGCAATAAAGAGATCAACAACATCACGTTATATTAATAAAATGTTCAAGAGCCAATGCATCTAAAAAATATTTTAAGTCCATAATTTTATAGCAAAAAACCTTTGTAATCTGTCTGCATTCAATTTTAACGACTGGATCACATTGCAAGATATGTACTACCTAAGCAAAATTTCATGACTAAAACGCTTGCATTGATTCAATACTGGACGTATACGTGTTTATTAACGTGTTTTCCCATTGAAGAACATGCAACCGAAATGTCGAGTATTTCCTTTATCGCTGGTAAATTATACGCAATGAAAACAAATATCTTGGCGCTGTTGGTGAAAACTGCCAGAATATACGTTGACATACGTGAAAACACCTAGCATTGGGTCAAGATTACTTTCAAAGCACGATCAAAGCACAAACTAATCAACCGCGAATGTAGATCAAAGCCATAAAATTGAGTTTGGTTTGCAGTAATTATTCACGAAAACGCCAAAAGCTTGATTGTGGTTTCCGATATATTTAAAATTTCTATCAAACTAGGCGGAACTGCTTCATTTTTGGCTCATTAAGCAAATTTCACACAGTTCATTATAAGTTTCACTTGCAAGTAGGAATGAAAATGCGCCACGCTTGCCTTAGACCCATTGAGTTTTATAATAACCAGAGCGGCTAAGTGGACTGGGACCTGACGCAAAAAATGGCGGCCAATGGATCTATTTCCAATTAAATGATCGCTTTGAAGAAAAATTATATTCTCGACCTCCCCGTGATGTCTATAGCTAATTATACAGACTTTTTCAAAAACAAGCATGATATCTTTTTTGGCATGTCTTTTAAAATGCCAACACTTCAATCATTCAATTGTTGGACATCGTAGTGTCCACAAAAAGGAACAGGTCGCTTTCAAAGGTGAGATATTTTTTTTTTTTGTTCGTCAAAAATTAAAAAGTAATTGAACTTGAAGCCTGAGCGATGAAATCCGACTGATGTTTTCCTGTTTTTGTTTTTAAATTTCAACATAATGTTCCACTTATTTGTTAATGTGTGAAACCGTAAATATGTTTGACGCGAAAAAAAATTCTTCTCTTTTTACTCAGTAGGCAGATACTATGAAGAAACGATCACCCCAAAGATTACCCATGAAATAGAGCAGAGTTTGTTCTGATCACTTTCCTGACTAAATGAAGAGATGATCGGATAGCAAAATGCTTCTAGAATATGCTGCATTACCAGTATCTACACTATTTTATAGATCACTATGTGAAGACAATTGGAAGATGCTATTGATCAGACAGAGTCTAACTGCAAAATGCTAAGGCTGAATACGAAGGTAAACGATTTATAGCCTTCCCTGTCCAACATTTATTTGAACTTGGACTAAGTCTGTGGATGGAGATAGTGGATTTAGTAAAGATGCCTTGAATGCTTTGAAAGTAAAGGTCAAGTACCAAATAAAGATGACAAGATTTCGTGTGTCTTGTTGCTTGATGAAATGTCATGTAAAAATGTCATAAAGTTTGTGCTTGTGTCAGTATTGATGCTGAGATTGATGATGACTTACTGCAACTGTACAATCCATGTAGTGTGTTTTGTACAACAAAATTGTAATATCATGTCACATCTTTGAAATTAAATGAGATATGATCTTCGCACTTAGCTGGACAATTTAAGCAATCGTCTCAGGACCTGAAAAAATCAGGTGACTTAACGGGACTCGAACCCATGACCTCTGCGGTGCCGGTGCAGTGCTCTGACCACTGAGCTATGAAGTCACACAGTGGTGAGCAGGTCAATATTGTTGGGCTCATGTTTTCTCGTGAAATGAATGTCATATGAATAGTTTATGCAGTGCGGTGTTTTTGAAATTAACGATTGCTTAAATTGTCCAGCTAAGTGCGAAGATCATATCTCATTTAATTTCAAAAACACCGCACTGCATAAAATATTCATATGACATTCATTTCACGAGAAAACATGAGCCCAACAATATTGACCTGCTCACCACTGTGTGACTTCATAGCTCAGTGGTCAGAGCACTGCACCGGCACCGCAGAGGTCATGGGTTCGAGTCCCGTTGAGTCACCTGATTTTTTCAGGTCCTGAGACGATTGCTTAAATTGTCCAGCTAAGTGCGAAGATCATATCTCATTTAATTTCAAAAACACCGCACTGCATAAAATATTCATATGACATTCATTTCACGAGAAAACATTAGCCCAACAATATTGACCTGCTCACCACTGTGTGACTTCATAGCTCAGTGGTCAGAGCACTGCACCGGCACCGCAGAGGTCATGGGTTCGAGTCCCGTTGAGTCACCTGATTTTTTCAGGTCCTGAGACGATTGCTTAAATTGTCCAGCTAAGTGCGAAGATCATATCTCATTTAATTTCAAAAACACCGCACTGCATAAAATATTCATATGTCACATCTTTATTATATTATTTTGTGGAATGTTGTTTGAATGTTACATATATGTAATGCATGCCATATTGAAGCATTAAAGATTCAGTAATGAAAACCACAGTGCTGTATATTTCTTCTTACTTGTAGTTTTAGCTGAAAAAATATTTCGAGCTTATTCACCTAATAAAGTACAGAATGGGTGTTTTCCATTTGCTTTATTTGTTTTGACTTTTCAAAGTTTTCTTCAATTTTTTCCTTCTTAATTTATTTCATAATATGAATGAAAAACAGGTAATACAGTATAATAGCTCTATAATTTCTGAAAAACTTTGAGCTTCTAGCACTAATTAACCCAAAATGTGTTTAATTCATTTGGTTTTATTGCCTTATTTTTACAAGTGTACATGCACTTCATCTTTTTTGTATAAACAACACCAGATGTTGCATATATAGAGGAAAAAATCCCATAGCAACTGGTAGTAGTTATAGTGCAGATATGGTCACGGAAGTAAAGGAGCTCTTACCCGTGTCGATTAGTTTCCAGTCCTAGGAAGTAAACAGGGCGCGCGTGTGTAAACCGGAAACGAACAGATATATGCAGACACTGTTGAGTTTGAAGAAGTTAGTAAATGCGATCTTATCAACTTGATTTTCGTCGACTTTA